TCAGCTGATATTTGGGTCAGCTTATACATGAGTATACACGGTATGTCTCTAGTTCACCTTAGAATTATCATTGTCATTCTTTTTTTTTTTTTTGATTTTTTTAAAGCAGTTTTATTGGCAGAGAATCCACAAATCCTCCAATTCAATAATTCAATCCTATCGAGAAGAGTTGTACAATCATTACCACAATCGATTTTAGAACATTGTCATTCTTATATAAAGGAATATTATCAATACCTGTGGGGCATCTTTCCCCTTGGTGGTTTTGAACTGCTGACCTGGAGGTTAGCAGACCAATGCATGACCACGACACATTGATAGCGTTCACTGGTTGCCAATGGTATTGATTTTAAAACACTGTTGAGAAAATGAAATTATACTAGTATAGGCCAGCTAAGAACTGCAATACATGAATTGTTGGCTTGTGTAGAGAAATGCTTAAGTGACTGGACATTATTTAAACAACGGAGGTTGATGATTGGGCAAATCCTTCAATAATATTCATTCACAGTAGCAGAGCCATGCTCACCACATTACTACATCATAATCAAGGGAGTATTAAAATAGGGAAGTATGTGGTCATTCAGGGCCATCATTCATTGGGTACCCTCAAGGCAAGAGATTTGAACCAGTCTATGCCCTTGGGCTAGTAGTCGTCTGCTGCTTCTCACACTAGGGTTTTTCTGCCTGAAGTCCAACGGCGACAGGGGAGTTTGAGGTGAAGCCCAGTTCACCTACTGAAATTTCCACATTGGTCCTTCAAGTGTGACCTCTGAAGGATGTTGTACACCTCAAAAGAACTAAGTACTGTTAACCGCTTTTTCCTGCTGAGTGGTTGCTCCTCCCCGTTTTCTGACTTTGTCTTCTTGAGCCGCCCTTTGAAATTTCTCTTCAGCTCATCAACCGTTTCCCCCAGAAGTTGGCATCGTCGGAGTTCAGAGAGTGAGGCATTCCTGTAACTTAGAATTAAACTCTTCCGTCAATTTTCTTTTCTTGTACCAGCGTGTCTTGGAGAAAGGATCCCTGGTGGCTCAGTGGTTAAAGTGCTCAGCTACAAACCAAGAGGTGGGTGGTTTGAATCAAAGGCAAACCCACTGCTAGGGATTTAACTACATTTGATAGCAATGCCACCAGGACAGAGTGGAACTGCCCCACGCTGCCTCTTCCCCGGCCACAGAGAGGCTGCTGGGTGCACGATTCTGACGCCAAACCATTCCTCCCAGGGCATTCGCCTTCTCTGCTGGCTTTGATAACCAGTTGCAATGGCCATGCAGAACTCAGTCAATATAATTATGCGAGGTCATTAGGGAAGTTTAGAGGCTACCACGAGCCAGGATCAGAAAACATAAGATACAGTCCGGCTCCCCTGCAACGCCTCTGTCCCCCAGCAGCCACGTCGCTTTACAGTCCTCAGCCACTCCATCATGCGTCCCTGGGCCTCTGCCCCTCTGGGGCCTGCTGCTCAGCGTTCAGTCCCATGGTCTCTGTGCCCCGGGCTCTGGCCACAGCCGGCACCTCAGGCAGGGTTCGCCAACAGGCTCTGTCCTGTGGGTTCTCTCCTCCTGCTTCTGATGTCTCATTCGGACTCTCCACCAATCCCCTGCAGTAGTGTTTCTCAGGCCCCATTTGCCTGGTCCCACCCGCTCACTTGACAGGAGTAAGAGGGACATTGAAACAAGAGCCATTCCAATGGCTTCACTTCGTCCCGGTTGCTCACTGTTCAAGTTGTCAGTTACCGTTAATGGAGGGATATCCTACACACAGACACGCACACTGCTCTCTGGAAATGAGGGTATACATGCTAGTCACCAATCAGACAAACAAAGACTGTAGGGTAATTTCACTTCCTAAATCCTATTTCAGTACATGAGAACGCCATCACTTCTGTAATCACAGTTTCTTTTTTAAACACCACGTGAAACCCCACTCCAACTGCACTTCAGTATTTGAGCTTCTGAGAGAACTGAGGACAGCAATCTCCTTCAAAACATAGCCTGGACTCACATCAAGACAGACAGAACCCACTTCGGATGAGAAAGGATCTGACCTTGTTACCAGGGGTTGAAGAAGAAAACCACACTCCAATACGGACTTGGGCCAGAAAATACTTCTAAATGTTTGCATCCAATCAAGGTGCTGCTGCTGTCTTGGCCTGGTATTCCGGAGAGGACGTGGAAGTCACGAGTCAGTCACCACCAGGCCAACCAGCCAGGGTGCCCGGACTGTGCTACTTCACAGCCTCTTGAAACCGAGAAGTCTTCCAGCTCAAACACTTAGCACACCCCCTCTGGGCCCGTTTCTTTGTTATTAGGTCTAAATAAGATCCACAGGAACTAAGGAGCCTTAGTGGCTGCAAACATGGCTCCACCAGGGGGAAGGAGACTCAAACTCATCAGCCTACCTCCACACTGCCTTCATACTAACCACCCTCCCTAGCACACTCTACTTGTCTGCTGGGTCTGACCATCCCTGCTAATGGTCACACAGAACTCACAGTCACAGTGAAGGGTTTACTTGAGAAGTTAACAGGTTACAATTCAGAATCAGAAATTAAAATGCTTGTCCCCACCTAATTCTTAATTTTATAATTCATTTATTTAAAAAAATGTTGAGGATTCAGTCCGGTCAGGCACCCCTCTCTGGGTCTTGCCTCATTCAGCCAAGTTACAAAGCTCTTATTGTGCTGCCAACAATGCCCACTCCGCCATAATCCGTCTGAAGGTGGTCACTCTAGCTTCTCCATTTAACAATAAGCCTCCTGCCTGAAGACACTCGGGAATCCTACCACCCTCCTTCTCCTGTTCTTGGTTCTCTACTGCTCCTCTGGTGTCACTGTTGCCGCCTGGTTCCAGGACATGCAGGGATCTCCAAGAGACAGGCGCTACTCCTGGCTCTTCTCTCTTGATGCTCGAGTGAGACACCCATTCCTGCTTTGTCCAAGTTTCATTTTAAATCCAGCAGGATGACAAAAGCGAACCAATCCCCAGGTAAGAATCCCATACCCCCCTACTTGCCTAGTCCCATCGGTCACTGTTGGGTGGGATTTACAAAGATCACAGCTAGAAGAGTCACTACAAGTAACTCACGGCCACTAGTGGCCTGGTTTAAACCAGGAAAGGTGTGCGGGGCTGTATCCTCTCACCATGCTGCTTACTCGGTCTGTATGCTGGGCAAAGCATCAGAGAAGCTGGCTTACAGGAAGCAGAATGCAGCATCAGGATTGGAAGGAGGCTTACTAAATCTGCCGTATGCAGATGATACCACCTTGCTTGCTCAAAGTACAGAGGACTTGAAAAACTTGGTGATGAAAATCAAGAATTTCAGCCAACTCAATGCAAAAAAACCCCTAAATCCCCACAACTAGACCAAGAGGTAACATCGTGATAACGAGAGAAAAGGTTGACGTTTTAGGATTTCATCCTGCTTGGATCCACAATCAGTGCTCAAACAGCAGTTAAGAGATCCAAAGACTAGCTGCATTAGGTAAATCTGCTGCACAAGACGTTTTAGAGTGCTGGGAAGCAAGGCTGTTACTTTGAGGACTCAGGTGGCCTGACCCATGTTATGGGTCTGTTCGCTTGTCTTACACACATGTGGCATAGTGGATAAGCACTGGGCTGCTAACAGCAGGGTCAGTTCGAAACCACCAGCCACTCCTCCAGAGCAAGACAAGGTTTCTACTCCTGGGAAGAGCTACAGGGCTGTTCTACACTGTCCTATAGGGTCACTGTGAGTCAGCACCGGCTACATAGCAGTTTTGGGGGCAGAGGGTTCATGTGCATAGGAAAGATAGACATTGGATAAAGAAGACCAACGATTTGACCCATTTGAATTGTTGTGCTGAAGGATATTAAAAGTACCATGGACTGCTAAAAGGACAAACCGATCTGTCTTAGAAGTGTGGCCAGAGTGCTCCTGAGAGGGCAAGGATGGTGAGACTTCATCTTACATACTTCAGGCGTGTTGTCAGGAGACCAGTCCCTGGAGAAAGACATCCTGTGTGGTAAAGCAGAAGGGCAGCAAACGAGGAAGATCCTCAAGAAATTTATCGACACCGTGCAACAACGGGCTGGCGCACAGAAACACTGTGGGGACAGTGTTTCATTCTGTTGTGCATAGGTCCCTGTGGCTTGGAACCAATTCAATGGCACTTAGCAGCAGCAACAGTGGCATAATGGTTAAGCACTTGGACGCAAAACCAAGAGTTGCTGGGTCACACCCACCCAGAGGCTTAACAGAACAAGGTCTTGGCCATCTGATCCCATCAATATCCCAGCTCTCCTCTGTTCCAGGGGGTCTTTCCGAATCAAAAACCAACGGGATACTCCAGAACAAACAGCAGCAGCACAGAGCACGCAGTCCCCCCCACCATCAGTGCACTGCACTGGATCGGGTTAAGGACCGCTCGTCAATCAGACAACATCAAAAGCAGCCACAGAGGAGCAGCTACAAATTCTCTACACAGTTGGTCTCTGTGTAGGTTTTGTGATATTAAAATTCGCGGGCTGGTCCTTGAATCTGAAGGATTTTAACCATTGTGGCACAGACCTGTAGAAAAACTTTTCAAAGGAAAACAAGATGCTGGTGTTAATTTAAAGAGTCCTGGTGCTGTAGCAAGTTAAGTTTGTGTCTGCTAACAGCAAGTCCAGAGGCCTAAACCCACCAGCCATCTGAGAAAAGAGAGCTCGTCTGCTTCCGTCCATGGATTTGATGGTAGGAGTAACAGGAGGTATCTATTTCCAGTAACCATTTTAAGGAGTCAAATTAATACAAAACACATCCACCAGTAGGCCGTTTGTTGGAGGTACAGTTCCCTTAATGTAGCTATTCATTTTCCTTGCAGGAGGTTGGCCATTTCTGTATGGCCCAGTCAGCTGTCTGGAGTTTTGTAAAGACTGGTTTACTGAACACAGATCCCCTGCAAAATGCCACACCGAAGGTGAAGTCAAGTGACATTTGAACAGACACTGGGGATGCAAAACCACGAGTGACACGCTGGCTCTGATTCAGGCACTTTCAAGATCATGGTTTATTACTTCTGATAAAAAGATAGTATACATAGGAGGGAATCGCTTAAAATTCAACTCTAGAGTTAGACACCATCTAGTACTTTTGCATTGAAGGCTAACCAAAAAATCTCTAAACACCTGAAAGTCCCACTATTAACATGAACTGTGGTAATAAAAAATTTGACATTTAATTTGTTCCATGTATCGTATTTACAGTATGAAAGCAATGGTGGTATGATAAACAGTGATAAGGAAATCGTAAAAATAACTTTAAAAAGCAAAGGTTTATATTCTTACAAGGTGATAATTATCATAATTGGATATAAAAATTAAAACATCGAAGAGCGTTCTGTTACAAAAATCTTAAATCATCTGAGTTGTAGTCATGACTTGCTAACAATTTACATGCAACATCTGCTAGAACTGACATTTAAATTTTTCCCCCCCAAAGAAAGCGTGAGTAGCTAAATGACATTTGAAAGTAGACATTACTTTACTTGTGGGCAGAAAAGGGGAAAACAAAAAACCCTGCACTCAAGATGAAGATTAGTACTGGGCACAGCCTGTTCCCTACAGAAATGGTTTCAGAAATTAAAAAGTCCAAGAAGGTGATACACAGGCCAGGAAGCCCACCCATGGCACAGCTCCGGGGCTCCGGGTCCAAGGACACACACCTTTCTTTCCTTGTTCCTTCGACAGCAACGAGAGGGCTCTCTGCCAGTCCGTGACGGTGGCAGAAACAAGTGAGGGGCACCAGGTGTACAACTAATTAAATCCTGCAAAATAGTAGGCTGGGGGCAAGGAAGGGCCAGAAGGAGGGGCAACTGATATAGAATCCAAACCATATATATGTATGTATGTATGTATGCATGCATACACACACACACACAGAGAATGGCTAAAATGCAGCCCATCCCCAGTGGCTCTGAAACAACTGGACCTTTCTGACTGAACAGTCAGAATTATAACAAGAGTAATAACAGTACAACAGATTCACGTGGGAAGCCGAAGCCAAGGGGCATTTTATAGTAAGTATTTACTGTGCTGTTCAATTTAAAAATAATTTTGCTAAGTATACATCTCAACTGCGGTCTATGTATAAAATGTCCTAATAAATACAGATGTTTACCTTTGGTGAGTTAAAGGCCTTTATGTGACTTGTCTGAATTGTACACAGAATGCTCGCTGTACATGCACACGGGGTACGGTGAAAGGATTCTGGCTGAGGTAATCCAAAAGATGTGCACAGGAGGAGTCTGGAGGCATTTTGCAGGTCAAAGTGCACCAGAAAACAAAGCAGGCGACAGTGAGAATGCCGAGAGGGGATGGAATGCCGATATGGCAGGGATTTTTTGTGTTAAAAAATAGACACAGAAGGCCTCTCGTACCAGCAGAATCCTGCACATATACAAAAGGAGGGAAAAAAGCCACCCACCATTTTCATAAAACAAAAGCCGATTCCAGTGTGGGAAAGCACAAAGTACGGAAAACCAAAGCCAAGGGAAGAGAAACAGCTGATTTCCACGCGAGAAGGGGAAGGCGTCCCTCCGAGCAGTCACTTGGTGAAGGCGGCCACCACGGCCCACAGGACCTCGTTGGTGTTGGCCTTGAGACACTCCACCTCAGGGTCTGAATCCAGAAGCTGCCGCACTCTCTTGGTGGCCAAATCATACTGCTCGTCCAGAAGCGGGGCGAAAGCGTTCTCCAGCACATCGGAGGCGTGGGCTAGGTAGATGAGGGCCAGCAAGCGCTTGTCCATGCGGTGAGGGTCGTTCACCCACTTGTCGAGAACCGCTTCCTGCACCTTTTTGATGAGGCGCTGCTTAATGTTGTTGTTGGTGAGGGGATGTGTCGTCATGTCAAAAAGTAGGAAGTTCTGTTTCTCTGTCGTCAATACACCCTTTTCCACCAGGTTTTTAGCTAATCGTTCCCGGACATTTCTTAATTGATAATGTAGTTTTAATGGATTCCATGTCTCACCTAGACAAAAGATTTCAAAAGTTAGAAACGAGTAATGGTATTATCTACTAACTTCTACAATGTTTGCACTAGTAAAATGAATGGTAAAATGTATTTTGTTTTGCCTCTAGAGAGAGAAGAAAATCCACCTCTGTTTTCATCCCGGCCATGACGAGGAATGAAGGAGAGGCCCCGGGCCTTTGGTTCTGTGCCCCAGCACGTTGTCGGCACAGTTGTCACTCCAAAGACCAGGAGGAAAGCTGTCTTCTGCCCACGGTCATTGGTGTGTAATGGGAAATAAGCCATGCATTACGTCTGGCCGCTCGCCAGCTAATATGAAAAAAGCAGCCAACAGCAAAAAACAGAAGACTCTTTTCTGTTAAACACCAATCTGCAACCGTTAAGATAAAAGGAGCAAAAAGGTTTCCATTGTCATTTACTAAAATCACTACATATACACGCATGGCCATTAGAGCTCGGAGAAGCACTGGCGGTCGGAGGCAGATTTCTCACCTCCCATGAGTGAGAGACCTGAGTGGCTGACTCCCAGCCAAGGCACTTCATGACGAAAAGCCACTACACAGCAGTCAATGGATGCATGCATGTTGCTAGGATACTGAACAGGTTTCATCACAACTGAAACACTAAACCGTAATAGGAAGAATGGCTTGGTGATATACTTCTGATAATTAGACACTGAAAGCCTTAGGGGCCACAACAGTCTGATCCACAACCAATCAAGAGGGTGGTGCAAAACTGAGAAACATTCTGTCCCATGGTGCATGAGATCAAATACGAATTGGGAGACTAGCTCTGCAGCAACGAACTACAACAATAACGACAATGTGTGGACAATGAGGACGCACAATGGAACACTTAGTTCAAGAAGGGCAAAACCTTCTCACCGTTGTATTCTTGTACCTATGCACCTTTCTGCAAATACACATTTCCCCCCAACAAAATGATTCATTAAAATAAAAAAAGAAAACATACATTTCCTTCTGAGACAGAAATGTTTACTGAGATACTTAAATTTTATAGATAATTACAATATATACTCAAGTATAAGCTGACCCGAATATCAGCTCAGGGACCCTAACTTTACCACAAAACCTGCATTAAAAATGTGCTGGAAAACTTGGCTTACACATGAGTATATATGGTATTAAAGACAAGCCAGTCAGGGTGCAGTATAGCACAGACAAAACACAACTTTCCTCTAGTTCTTTAATGCTTCCTTGCCCTCACCATCATGACCCCGTTCTACCTTTAAGAAACATTATAATTAAATATGAAATAAAAGAATGCTTGCATATTGGAGAGCTAAACCATATTTATGGATAGTAAATTCAGTTGTAAAGCCATCATTTCTCTCCAAATGACTGTACACTTGCTGTACCAATCAAGACCACCAAAGAGTTTTTTAGGAGAATGAATTCTAAACATCTTTCAGTATGAAACATCCAGAGCAAGTTTATGACTAAACAAAGTAAAACAAAGCCAAATAAAAAAAACTGAACCCTTTGGACAGTGGGGGGGAGGGGGGGAATCCATTAACTTGCCTGGCGGTATAATCACGAGTGTGGCTCGTGGTAAATGTTAACTGTCAGAAGTGGTAACCCTGAGCCACACTTGGGGGATTACACTGCAGAAAAGTCCCTTAACAAAATTACTGACATAATTAGACCGCCGGGGAGGTTAAAGTTTATCATACCTGGAATGTCTACTTGAGAGATTAAAATGAGTAATTTCTTAAGAATTACAGGCCTACAATACAAAACAACAAATTTTATGCAAAACAATGTACCGCTTTGGGCATAAAATTACTGACATAATTAGACCGCCAAAGAGGTTAAAGAATTTAATTGTTATTTTTTAGCACTTCCAAAAATTTCCAAGTGAACTATAATGAATATATACTATTCATTTTATTGGGGGATGGGGAGACTATACTAATCTAAATTGGAACATGTTAAAGATCAACCACAGGACTTTTAGTAAATGCCTAAGCTATTGGACTCAAATTTATATTCTGTACTGTGCACTACAGATACCTCTAGCCACACATGGCTATAATATTTTAATTTAAAATTCACATTTCAAGTGCCCAGTAGTCACATGTAGTTGAACATTATAAACGTAAAAAAACTTCTATCTTCACAGAAAGTTCTAGTGGATAGTACTGCCTCAAAATATGGTGTTAACAGTTGATTATACACACAATTATCTTACATCAATATCAGAGACTATAAAGGGCATGATACGTAATCAGTGCTGGACTTGCCTTCTCACCATCAACAACTAGAACTCGATCCTATCAATGACACAACTATTTTCAGGTGCAACACTCACTTCTCCCCGCATGGTGCCTGGTGGCCCCAGTGGCCTCAGCTAGACAGAACCTGTCTGCCATCCGCCCGAGGTCAGCACCACAGCGAATAGCGCCCCACACACTAAGAACCAGTGGCCATACCCACCGCAGCTGAAACCCACCCCACCCGTCGGCCACACATAGCTCAGGCACCTACGTTTCACTTACCTACCAACCGCGGCCTGTGCCACTACAGCCAGAACCCAGCAGCCATCCATTCAGGGCTCCCACAGCCACGAACAGAACTCTTCAATAACTACAAGGAGTCCAAACACGACCCTTTAGCCTGTGGCCAGACCCCTCTGAGTGACCACTACTCTGAAAGCCATAGTCATAACCCGTCAGCCGTCCTCTGTAGATTGTCCCGCAGGACTGACCCAGAAACCACAGCCCTCTGGTTAGTCTGTTCTGGACTAGTGGCTTCTCTGCCGGGCCACCTTCAGCCCCGAAGTTTTCCCACGCAGCAACTGCAATACTGCAGCTGCTCTGATGGGTCACTTCCGCCCTCTGGGGGCCTACATGGGTAATGCCGTGATCTCGCAGCTTCTCTGTTGGCTAACTCCCAACACCGGGCTTTCCTGTAGCATCACTGCAGCTCTGAGTCCACCAGGGAGCGACCAACCCTGGGGATTACCCATCGTATCTCTGTGAACCCACAACTTCTGGCCCAGATTCACGGCCCTGATGCAGTGCAACCTGACCCAGTGGTGTCCCAGTCAGTCCAGACCAGTCCCGTGGACACACCGTAGGCACACCTTGCCCTTGTCCAGAATCCTACCCATGGCCACAGGCCATCTTCCAAGCACCCCCACTGCTGCACCAGCCAACTGCCACGTCACCTCCCTTATGTAGTAGCCCAATTCCCAAACACAGTAGGCCACAGGCAGGCCCAATAATAACTCTTAGCCCCACAGAGAGAAAGCTCAGGAGCCCTGTACCTTTTGGGAATATGATACCAAGCACAACCAAAATGACACACAAACAGCAACCTACCTCAACACGCTCAACAAGAAACAAAATCCAACGTGGGAGGTAGTATGAAACCTAACTATACACATCAAAGAAGCAGGCATTGATCTGCCACAAAAAAATAGAATGCTTCTTGGAGTCCTACAGGATATGAGTGAAGCAATACAGAATAAGGATACGATGATTAAGATGAAGTCCATGATCGTTGGGATGAAGTCCACACACCAACAGAAGCAAAAAACAAGATAACAGACGTCACCAACAGACTATAAGAGGCAGATAATCATTCCAGTGATCTCAAGGACAACCTGGCAGACTTCCAACAAACAGGAAAAACAGTCAAACAAGACAATCAGAGGCAGAAGAAAACCTGAGATCAAAGACAGATGCTATGAAGAGGAATAATATTTGAATAATAGGAATACCAGAACAAGACACAACAAAGACGTCAACAGCTAAAGTAGCGAGGGAATTCCAAGAACATTTCCCCAACTTAATGATTGAGAATCAGATAATCATACAGGAAACAGAGAGGAAACTAAATTACACTAAACCCCAGGGGGAAAAAAATCACCAAGGCACATCCAACTTTGAGGAAAAGGAAAAGCTCATAAGAGCAGCTGGGGGAGGGGGTGGGAGGCAGTCACATACAATGGTACTCAGGTAAGAGTATGATCAGACCTATCAGCAGATACCATGAAGAGGAGAGAATGGAGTAACATCTTCTGAAAGTTCAAAGAGAACAATGCCAATCCAAGAATCCTAGATCCCGCCAAGATAGACGGAAAGGTAAGAGTCTTCCTGGACAAGGAAAAACTCAAAGAATACATTATAAGACACCCAACCTTGTGAAAAATCCTGGCCAACCCACTGTGGTCAGAAGATCAACATTCACCAAGTACAAATAGGAGACCACCATATAGCACAACCCCACCTGGAAGTGAACATGCCTAAAACCACCACCTAAGATAACATTGCCTCAATGCGAAAAGAAGGCAAGAATGAAGTCCTCCCTACATATACTCAGCTCAATGTTATGTGGGGAAATAGGAAAACACCCAACACAAAAAGTATAGGATGACAATGAATCCACAGTTGGTGGTAATAATTCGGAATGTCAACGGTCTGAATTCGCCCATTGAAAGACAGAGGCTTTCAGACTGGCTCAGAAAACATAACCTAACAATCTGTTGCCTGCAAGAAACACCCCTTCAGTTCGCAGGCTAAAATAGGCTAAGAATAAAAGGCTGGCAAAAAATATACCAAGCAAACGATAACTAAAAAAAGGGCACAGGTTGCAATCCTAATCTCAAGCCAAATTGATCTCAAGGTGCAAATCATAACAAGATAAGACTGGTTGATATTTAATGCTAAAAGGATCAGATCAAGAAGCAACCAGCATAATAAATAAACATACATCTAATGAGAGACCTGTGAAAATTGTTAAACAAATTCTTCAAAAAATGAAAACGGAAATCACAGACTCAACAATTATAGTAGGTGGCTTTAATACACCACAATCAGAGACAGATAGGTCACCAAGAAAGAAACTCAACAAAGAAGCTACAAAAGCTAAACACAATTAGGTGACTTGACATGATAGACGTTTATAGATCTCTCCACCCAAATGAAAAAAGCAACAAAAACATTCACGTTCTAATCAAGTGCACATGGCTCTTAT